TGTGGGTCCCTTCTAACTCACAACATTCTATAATTCTATGAAAACTCCTGAATATCTATTTTCTCCCTTTTCATTTATTCCTTCTTACTCCTATCAAACAGGCAGCGCTGGACGCACTCAGTTGTTTTGTCCATCTGTTCGTTCCATCCTCTTTACAATGTAGAAGTAAGGAAAATAATTTAAATATTTAATTTTAAGGCCTGCCTTTTGTGTGGGCAAATAACAGTGGGGCTTTTTGTGAGGCTCTGTATTTCCCTTTTTGATAAACCACAGTAATCTGTTTTCCTATAGAATTACATGAAGGGGGTATAGTAAGGGGAGAAACAAATCCAGAAATAATCATAACTTCTTTTCACTGTCATTGTTCCCTCGCTGGACACTGGACTGGATAGTTCCATTCCAGAGCTTGGCCCTTCTCTACCTTCTGCTCGGATGCAAGTCAGACTGTCATAAACTGGGGTCCTGACCCCATACAAATGAGGCCAAATCAGGTGCAAGCATTTTGCAGTGGCCCTGCTTGCCTTTAAGCACACAGCTGCTGCAGAGTCCCTGTGCAATCCTCAAGTCCTCCTTTGCCAACTTCCAGTCTTCCCCCAGTTCAGCAATGACCAGTCCAGCTCATCTTTTGAGGACACATCTTCAGCAATTACCAAACCATCCCACAGGGAGCAAGAGAAGCCATCTTCCAGTCCAGGTCACCAAACAGCCCCAAAGCCACAGCAGACAGCCATTTAAAGGTAGCTGGTGTGTGCAACTAGGGAAATACTCTCACCCAAGCTGCAAGTTAAACCAGTGGCAGGTTTAAACCAGTTGTTTGGGTTTTTTAAAAAAACCCACTGCTTTAGTTAAATAGAAGAGTACTTGCAGAAAGAGGAAGCCTGTCATTATTACTTACACTTCCTCGGTTGTATCCCATTAGGGGGAGAGTTTTGGAGGCAAAGACCCTCTTTTGCTGTATTATGCACTTATGTATGATAGTGAGATGGGTGCTCTCGAGGTGATCGTGCAGACTGTTGACAACAAAACTGATAGGACTGTTCTGCTCGTGTGGTGACAGAGGCAGGGGAGAGAGAGGAAATCCTGCTCTCAACCGTAACACCGAGGCAGCTTGCTGGCTGCTACGCTGCCCTTGTAATCAATGCACAGTCCTTTGCTGTAACAGAGAAAATGAATATGGAGGTAACTGAAGAAAGCTCATGTCACACTTGAAAAGGCTCCAACATGTAAGTTTGGAAGGAGTGAATCCTTCGGTGGATTGTGACTGTCCTCAAGTAGCACAATGAGAACAGATGACAGAAACACCTAGATTTTCCTGCATGGAAAACTGGGGAAACAGTCGCACACCTCTTTCCCAAGAGAGTTCTCAGTTTTCTGTAGGCTCGAGATCCCGTGCTGAGCTATAAACCGAGTCTCAGCAAAGGCAAGTTGAAGAAGGCTTCTAAATATGCTGAAAGTTGCAGCTGAGTACCATTTGTTAAAATTTTTCTCACTGAACTCCTGATGTTTACAGCAGCAGTCTGCTAAGCTCCCTACCATGGGCTGGCTTTTAGACACCTGGGTTAGGGAGAAGCTGCCTGGCAGACTGCCCCCATTTCATCCCATGATGGCAAGCCATGGAAGCTCTTCATTTAACATCGTTTCCATCCACAGCCCACAGCATCAGCAAATCATTCTCCTATGTGACACTTCAGGATTTTGCAGGGAACAAAATGGGCACTACTTTCTCACCTTCTGTTAAGAATAAATTTAGAAAGTCTTCTTATATGGATTAGCCAGGTTTAAATTAATTCAGTCCCAGTTATAATTAAAGGATATATACTTATTTTTCTTAATGGCTTTCAAGTGGGAATTGTAGATGAGTTTTCCTGCTGTTCGCTCTTATACTTTGAAGTGTTGGTTCATGAAAACACTAAAGAAATTTTTCACAAGGAGCTAGCAATTTCCAGATGCTAAAAAGCTTTTCTGAAATAAATTTTACCTCTCAAACTTGTGTTGTGCTTTTAAAATGCCAGTCCCTAAACATTAGCATAATCAAATGGCATCACCATTGGGGAAAAAAAAAATAATAATCAAATTTTTAATAATCCTGCTTCTGCTGGAAGGATCACAAAGGTTAAAGTTTCATACTCTTAAATAAATATCACAAAATAAAAACAAGGTCTGAGATATTAGTACTAGGAAGGACACATATTACTTGTTTCAGGGTGCTACAGTAGCCCTTATTACACCTATCATTAAAATTTTTAATAATCTAGATCAAAGGAGATAAGGAAGGTCACTGAAACCAAAGTAGGTTACTTTTTAGCACTACTACACACAGAAAGCAGAGTGTTGCTTCAGCATGTTAGGTAGTGAATTTCTTTGATCCTACCTATAAATGTCACTTCTGTATGGCATTTAATTGTGGTATAGTCTTTTATTGGTGCAATTAAATCTTTTCAAATGCATTACATTATCTCCAGCTTTGCTTAAAATCTTGCCATTGTTGAGGAAGCGAGGTAAGGCATTGTGAAACGAAGTAGTTGACTTTAGTTTCTTCCTCCCCCCTCCACATGATTTCTCCCAACGATTTTAATTTAAATCTCACCAAACAGTATAATGGTCCTGGAATTTGTTTAGTCGTTTGACTTCCTTTATCACATGGAGATGGTAAACATTCTGTTGCTAACTTGAAGTGGCTCCAAGCAGCAAAACTAGGAGGATATTAAACCAGTAAAAGCTTATCAACTGATTCATTGATATGCTGTAAATTCCAGCCTTTTCATTTGACTTTTGAGGGTTGCCATAAGTCAACACATTAGCAAGCAATTTGCTGACATTGGATCACTTAAGAAAGGCTTCCCTGTGGACAAAGTTCACCCCGGTGCTTTGTTTCATCATTTTATTTTATCATAGTCTTGTGCTGCTCTACAGATGACTGATGTAGTTTTGCATACTGACAGAGTATTTCAGATACTCAGTTTATGCCACTCGGGTCAAGTTTTAAGAAGTCAGACATAAACTACAGAGGCATGGTGTTTTCAGAAATAAATTCAATTAATCAGTTTCAGTTGATCTGGGGAAAAAAAAAAAAAAAAAAGATTATTCAGCATTCCACATTAAAACACAGCAGGATTTAATATTTAAATCCTAGAACATGTTAACACTAACAATTTTTATTAGTTATATTAATTAATACAATTAAATTATCCAAAATGCTTATTTCCTTTCTCTTCGCCTTGACAGTTTGCACTGATTTGCCAGTGAGCATAAATTTGGGGTTAAATTTCAGTTACACTTTTTTTTTTTTCTTCCTAACCTTAAGACTTTATTTGCTGATTGATGGATATGGGTTGGGTCAGGTCATACTGCAGAAAATACAGGAGTAGCTCAAAGCAGATAGTATCTTAGCAGCAGAGGAACTTAATAGGTCACTGTCTCAGGCAGGAGAAGAGTTTTCCTCTCTTTTATTTTTACAGTTTCTGTTCAAGGAGGGTCACGAGAGGACTTTCAAGATCACTTAGTGAAACAGGGAACAGAAACACAAGTGCAGGCTCAGGGAAGAAACGGAGGGTTGTCTGTGCTGAGGGGAAAAGGAACCAGCAGCACCGGCACAGACAGAAAGGGGTCACCCCAGCCCCTCTCTGCCCCCTGCTTTCAGCTCTCCTGGGTAACTTTCCTCAGCAGCCGGGCTAGTCACAATGCAGCTCTCAAAGACAGGCCCAGTCCTGGAACTGACCATACACTGGCTGTGTTGCTCTCACAGTCACAGAAATAGACACTGGATAAGGGCCGAGTTAAAATGTGGTTGCTTTTCCTCAAATTTGGGGTCCTGAGAGCCTGTTGGAAAGCGCTGTGGTGGCTGCTCTAGCTTCCTGTTACGTCCCCCTGGCTTGCTTAGGAAAACACTGCAGGTCTGGTCCAGTTTAACACCCACATAAATTAAGACCAAGCTTAAGTCAGGACCAAACGTCTTTTCAAATGGATCAACCTTTACTCAATGCTGAATGGAAACCAGGAATTAGGTAACACTGGGGTGTAATCTGCCCCTGTTCTTTCTTAAAATGAAATCATGGAATCAGTAAGAGCAGTTACAACTGCAGTGTGGAGTAGATTCAGTTCCAGAATCAAGGCAACAACAGTTCAGATAAAACTTACTAGAACTGTCATTGCTTAATTAAATACATAATAATATTAAAATGTTAAAGATATAACCTGATTAAAGTGTAGTGCATTAGTATTTCATGTCTCAGTCAGGAAGCCCACAGTGTCATAGTTTAAATATTGAAGGAGGCCTGTGGTGGGATTCTTATTTGTTTGTTTGTTTGTTTTACAGATAGCACTGAAGGTCAGTGTGCATGTCTGCGTGGGATAGAACCAGAGTTTTTTCTTTCTTGTCAGTGAACAGTCAGGAGGGGAGCACAAGATCACCCCTCTGCTTCATGGTAGACACAGAATTCTCTCACAAATTACAGGAGGGGCTGCTGCTTTCCCTGTCGGGTTGTGATTTAAATACAGATGCTGTACAAGGGATCTCAAAAAAAAAAAAAAATCCCTTAAGTTATGTTAACTTGATCTTGATACATCAGCAGATCATTTGGAAATGCAGTAAGTCAGAAGAGGTGGCAGTTAACAGTGAATCAGACCATAAAATAAAAAGAATACACAGGATCAAATCTAACATCAAAAAATGAACAACTCATCTTGTATAAAACATGATGTTTTTCACTATTTCCCTTACCTGGGCACTTCTAATGTTTGTCTCTAAAGTCTTTATTGAGAAAGATTATGGGCTCACTGGAAGACACCTTCATACTTGCACATTATATGGATTTTAATTTTAAAAAAGATGGGGTTTTTTTTCATAGTTTTGGAAGAAAATTTAGGAAATTCAAAGTTTTCAAATCTAGAATGTTAAGTGAGCTTTTCAGATAGTTTTTGTGGGGTTTTTGCACTGGAGGAGGTGATGAAGGAACCACATTCACTGCTTTTAGGTATTTAGTTTGCTGAGCGCTGATGGGAGCATCTTCAGAGCCGATGGCCAGATTGCTTAGGCCTATGGCAATATGCAGAATCATACCTAAGGCAGTAGGTCCTAAAAGCCTGTGCCAAGGACACGACCTAAGATGCCTCTTCTGCAGCTGGTTATCAAATAACCAACGCTCAGCAGTCCTGCACCTCCTTCCTCTAACACAGCTGCACCCTCCGTGCTGCATCCAGCTGGGTTAAGAACAGCACACCTGTCCTGGGAAAGCTCACCGAGGGAAAGCCTCTGTTTCCTCTGAAGGATAATGGCCCATCAGTGGAGTGTGGGGACCTGATGCTTTTAACCTCTCCATCAGCACTGGACACCAGCTGCAAACTGGAACAAGATTCCATAGGTCATGCAGCTTACTCAGAAGCACTTGTCCAATTGCTCACAATCCATCCACGCGTGAACCACCTGTAAGTAACTCCAGATTTAACAGCAGTTGATTTTCTTTTCAGGTTCAACAGATTAGCAATCGACTCCTGAGTTCTTATGACATCAACCTAGATGAATTTTTTTCTGAGATAGATTCTTCTCTAGCTGCGAGCCGAGATGTGTTTCAGCAGTTGGAAGGAAAAGAAATATCAATAAGTGACACTGACTGGGAGAAGATCCAGATGCAGGTTAGTTAGCCTCTTATATATATATATATATATATACACATAGCTCTTTTGGAAGTCCTTTCAGCAGAATTGAGTGGTTTCTGTTCTGTTAAATTTTGGTCCCTCTGTTCCAAATCAGAAATATTGAAAAGTTTTTACAGTTGAGAGATTTACCTCAGCAGTATCTTTCTTCTACTCAGTTAAAGAGCCCAAAGAGGCTGTAGACAAAACCAAGAATCAGAATGTTAGCAGTTTCCCAAAATACATTAATCAAAATTTGAACATTTGAATTCGCATACTGCTGATATATTCACCTTCCATTGTTTCACTACAGGTTTGGTTTGTTTGTCTGTTTTCACTCAGGCATTTCGGCAAGAGATCTTTGACTGCCCAATCTGTATCATGCCACTCAGTCCTACTGTCCATCCTGCTTCTCTCTTGTCCGATAACTGCAATCAGTCCTCACGACAGACTGTTCTGCTTTCCTGTTCACATTTGTTTCATCATACCTGTCTTCAAACATTTGAAGAGTTTTCCTTGGGAGAACGACATCTTTGTCCTTTATGTCGCTCATACTATCAAAAGAAGATCCTCAGATGCTGACACATACGGCTCATAATGAACTACCTCGTAGATCACGGCTGACAACACCTGTACTTCAACTTTGGAGCATTTTCAGAGCCACATCTTCCAAGACCAAATTATTTTGTATGCACAATGGTACTCACCTTGTACCTAGAGAAATAAAAGTTAGAAGGGTGCTATTGCCCCCCCTTTTACACTCACTGTCACCTTTGGGCTTCCCACATTTTTATTCTTTCCCCCCCATCACTCCCACCTTTCTCCATTTTCATTTCCCTTTCCCAAACATGAGCCACAGTTGTTTTGGCCATTGTGTTCATTCAGCAATACCCCACTGTCAACCCTCACCTGTTTTTTTGGGGGCTTTTTGGGGTTTTTGGTTGGTTGGTTTTTGTTGTTTTGGGGGGTTTTTTTTCCCCACCTGATTTGTTGCAGCACAGGTTCCCACTCACGAGGACTGCCACTGCTGCAACTGGTAGTTGCAGCAAGAAACACTTTTTTGTTTTTCTTCAGCAACATTTACTAACTGGAACCATGGCTGCTGCTTCTGCTTGAATGACTGACCAATTCCAGAGAGCTGCAGGTAGATAAAAGTGGCCCTCAGAGGTGCAGGATCATTTCAGAACTTCAGAGAACCACAGAACCACTAAGTACTGACCACTTTCAAAAGAAATAAAGACACGATTATAACTTTTCAGCTATGCATTGCTGAAACCAAGTTAGGTCACTGCAGATAATTTATAAGAAAAGTAGGAGCACATAATGACAAAAGTCAGAAGCCAAAGCAAAATGAAATAGGAACATATCAAGGTAACAAGAGAATTAGTTTTGCCTAAAAAGGTAATAACCGATCAACTATATAAATGGTAGAGAGCATTGAAATAATACTGACAAGATCAAATCATGTCATGCAAGTGGGGTGGTCACCTCAATAGCAGGTGTATGGGTTTATGGTCTGAAGCTGGAATTGGGAAAGGCTGAATTAGGCAATCATTGGGTAAAGAGTATTTCACAGATCACTTGCTGATCAACTCTGGGTTTGGGCAAAAAGCCGCCTACAGGGCTTTCAGAGATGGTGGTCCCTCGGAACTTGTAGAGAGTGTGACACCCCAAAGGACTCGGAATTGATAAATCTATCTTGTTACTGGGGAAAAGGGAAGAAATCCTGGGAAACTGCAGACATTTGTTTCACTTCATTTCCCAGAAAAACACAGCTACAAACGACTTAAAAAGAACTAGTATTTGTCGTGGCATCTGACAGGAAGAGAATCATATTAAGCCAATTCAGTTCATTTCTGTAACAGGACACAGTCCTGCAGATTAAGTGGAAAATGTAGTGTCACCAAAAGCAAGTGCAAAATATACACTTATGTTGCGCCAAGGAGAGCTGAGATGGGATGTGAGGAAGAATTTCTTTGCTGAAAGGGTTCTGAGGCATTGGAAGGGGTTGCCCAGGGCAGTAGCGGAGTCCCCATCCCTGGAGGGATTGAAGAGTCATGTAGACGTAGTGCTGAGCGACATGGGTTAGTTGGGGACTTGTCAGTGTGAGGTTAACGGTTGGACTCAATGGTCTTAAAGGGCTTTTCCATTCTAGGCAACTCTGTGATTCTGTGAAAAGCCCCATTTAGGAGATGACTCGCATCTTAGATATGTAGCAATATAGAGACTTTCTGCAGAAGGACATCCAGGTCCCTTCCAACCACGTGAGTCTTGAACTTTAAAACAGCCTAAAATCTCCTGTGAAATGGAAAGTAAAGTCTGAAGCTCTTTTAAGTTTCAAATAGTTCAGGAAATATGGCGGTCACGTTTTTAATATATAAAAATTGCCCTTCAGTCAAACTATTAAGCTGTTGAAAATGACTGATCCATTACATAATCAGCAAACTCTTCTATAAAACCCCATTTGCTTAAAGTAAAAGGTTCAAATTAATTGTGCACTTGTCTTAAACACAGGGCTGTAACGCCTCTGAACGCACAGGAATCTCCATCACATACTGTACATCATGTATTTTAAAAACCTGAATATCTGAGAATCTCAAAACCACATTAAAGTGGGGGGAAGAAGGAAGAAGAAAGAGGAATGCAACTGTTCACACCAGCTACTGCCAGGACAATTTAGAATGCCACAGAGATGTTTTTTTTTCCCCATTCCTTAAAATAAAGTAATTTTAAAAAGAAGCAAAACCCCACTACGAATCACACTTTAACTTTATTGAAAACACAGTTTTAAAAAAAAAAAAAATCTTCCTACAAAACATTCAGTGTAACATTTCAAACAAAGGAAAAAACACACTACCACTGCTTTTCACAAAAAAATTCAACCTGGCTAAGGTGGCAAGGATTTGCATTTAGTTTTGTAACACAGCAAAGTATCCGCAACTGAGAACATTATAAAACACATTTCTGGATGAACTAAAATAAACCAAGAAGGTTTATCGGTGGGTTCCGATTGAAGTGACACTAAAAGCATAATTTTTCAGGTATGTTTCACCTTGGTCCAAGATACATCCACGTGAAAGAACCATCAGCTGCTCCAGACGGCAGCATTTACAAAACCTTACGCACAGATCGGACCAGGAGGGCCCGGCTGATCCCACCCAACATCTCTCAGCCTCACACACAGTTAAGATTGTGCGTAATTTTAATTTTTTTTTGTAAACTATAACCTTAACCAGTAACACTGCAGTGAAAAACCTGACAGTGCACGACAGAAGATACCTGCTGCCACTGCAATAGCAGCACCAACATCCATACAAACGCTCCTTCAGAACTGCATCGTTCCAGTCGCGTCACCCCAGGCGACACGAAGCTGATCCCATGTGACGGGATGTCCAACCTCAGTCTC